GTTTTTGATATTTTTATTTAAAACTTTGTTTCAATTTAGTCAGTTTAACAAAAGCAAATTGTTAAACCAACGCATAGTTGTTTTGAATAACTGTTTCAAAAAAAGTTTTCAATATGAATCAAAAGTCATGATTATGTTTTTTTTTTTTTTGCCATAATCGAAGAGCCCTACTATGTAGTATTATAATATAATTGGGGCTATACAAATAAAATTGACCCAACTTGACACTCACTGTCCAAGGAAACGTTTTTCTGCCAGAGCTCTTGAAAACAGGGGCTGCAGTCGAGGTCCCAGGTCTTTCTGGTGCTGAACATGACCATAGAACTGAGCACAGCCCTGGATTGGCTGGAGACACAGAGAAGACTCAGGTATAGTAAAAACGAATTCAGCTAAAAGAAGCATTTGTAGACTCCGATACATGATAAAGATAGGCAAGTCATTGCCTCATCATATATACAAAATATTTTCAGAACTAAATATATTTATTTTATACAAATTAAATATATATATATTTTTAATTTGTTTTAGTCTCACTAGAAGGAAGTTCTGAAAGTCTCCCTTTTAGCAAAATAAAGCCTGAAAAATAAAAAAAAATCTACATAGTAGATAGTAGTAGTACAGGGATGTCAAACTCATTTTCACCGCGAGGCCACATCAGCAATACAGCTCCCCTTTAAGGGTCAGTTGTAAGTGAGAGACTGCATAGACGTAACTACTCCATAATGTAATAATAAATGTTTCCACAGTTGATTATTATTAATCCAAGATACAAATACTGTGTATTGCTGTGTAATAAAAGAAAAATTAATTCATCAGAAACTCTGCTGCATGGATTTCATTCAATGCTTTTTAGGTCCGACGGGCCATACAAAATAGCAGTGCAGCCACATTTGGCCCCTTGGCCTTGAGTTTGACATGTGTTATTAATTGTTTGAACCCAGCACCTTTTTCAATATTCGTACTGTGGGAACAGTCAGAACTGGAATGTTGGCTCAAAACCAAATCAGGAGCTCTGGTTTTATTTATGGAATTATTGTAATTAACCGAAAGAAGTTCTCTATGATAATCATTTTAACCTACTACATACCACTCATTAACCTAAAATTACTATTATTATTATTATTGTAATCATCCCAACTACCAGACGGCTCAAGTTGTTAAACTGTTTATATACTTGCTTG